ATCAGTTTGTGGCAAATCGGAAGAAATGCACTTTCGGTCAGCACCAAATAGAATATTTGGGTCATGTCATTTCCAAAGCAGGGGTTGCTGTTGGTCCTGCCAAGGTCAGCAGTGTGTTACAATGGCCTATTCCTAGGAATGTCAAAGAAGTGCGAGGTTTTTTGGGTTGACGGGTTATTACCGAAAGTTTATATCAAATTATGGAAAAATTGCTAAACCCTTAACAGAATTGACAAAGAAGGATGGTTTTAGTTGGAATCCGGCAGCTGCCGAAGCTTTTGAGAAATTGAAAGTAGCTGTTACAACTGCCCCAGTTTTAGCCCTGCCTAATTTCAAGTTCCCCTTTGAAATTGAATGTGATGCCTCGGGAAAAGGAGTTGGTGCAGTATTGTTACAATCGAAGCATCCCATTGCATATTTTAGCAAGGCTTTTGATTCATCTAGGTTATCCAAATCTGCCTATGATAAGGAGTTAATGGCTTTAGTGTTAGCTATTCAACATTGGCGACATTATTTGTTAGGCAGGAGGTTTGTGGTTTATTCTGATCAAAAGAGCCTAAAACACTTGTTGCAACAACGTATTACCACAGCAAATCAGCAAGAATGGATGGCTAAGTTATTGGGTTTTGACTTTGAGGTGGTGTACAAGGTGGGAGTGGAAAACAAAGTGGCTGATGCTTTATCTAGACAGCACAAGAATGCTGAAATGCAAGCGATTAAATCCTACCCTATTTGGCAGCAGAGCAGCCAACTACAACAAGAAGTATCAAATGATCCTTTGCTTAAAAATATTATGGAAGCTATTCAAAAAGATCCTAATGCTAAACCTGGTTTTGCTTTAAAAGGTGGCATCTTATTCTACAAAAATAGGTTAGTTATACCGGCTAACTCGCCACTTATTGAGGAGTTACTCAAAGATTTTCATTCTTCTCCAAGTGGGGGTCACTCCGGCTACCTACGCACTTATAGGAGAATGGCAGGAACTTTATATTGGCAAGGGATGATGTGGAGGGTGCAAGATTTTGTGAAAGCTTGTGATACTTGTCAACGACAAAAATATGCGGCAACGACTCCTAATGGATTACTACAACCTCTTCCCATTCCGGTTATGGTGTGGAGTGAGATATCCATGGATTTCATCACTTGTTTGCCAAAAAGTAATGGATTTGAAGCTATATTGGTTGTGGTGGATCGTCTCTCCAAATACAGCCATTTCATTCCTCTTAAACATCCATTTACTGCTCGCTCAATAGCTGTTGTTTTTGTGAAGGAAGTGGTTAGATTACATGGCATTCCGGAGTCTATTCTTAGTGATCGTGACCCCTTGTTTGTGAGTATTTTTTGGAAAGAGTTGTTCAAATTAGTAGGTACGGTGCTTAAAATGTCCTCGGCATACCATCCCCAAACGGATGGTCAAACAGAAGTAATTAATCGTTGTTTAGAGGCCTATCTACGTTGTTTTATTGCAGATCAACCTAAGGCATGGGCACACTGGATTCCATGGGCAGAACTGTGGTACAATACCACATTTCACGTGTCTACCGGGTTCACCCCTTTCGAGGTGGTATATGGTAGAAAACCTCCAGTGTTGGTGCATTTTTTGGAGGGTGAAACCAGAGTGGAAGCTGTAGCACAGGGAGTTAAGGGACAGAGATGAGGCGTTGCGTCAATTAAAAACTAATTTACTCAAAGCCCAGGAGGACATGAAATTCCAAGCTGACAAGAAACGCAAGGCAGTGCAATTTGAGGTGGGCGATTGGGTTTTCCTCAAATTACGTCCTCATCGACAACAATCGGTTGTGCAAAGAATCCATCAAAAACTGGCCCCTAGATTTTTCGGTCCGTATCAAATCCTAAAGAAGATAGGGCAGGTTGCTTATAAGTTGAAGTTACCACCAACATCTAAAATACATCCTACCTTTCATGTGTCGCAATTGAAGAAAGCGGTGGGCAACTATACTGCTACAATTCAGCTACCTATCAGTTTAGAGTCAGAAAAAGGGGACATTACTCCGGCTAAGGTTGTGTCATGGAGGGACAAATTTGATGGTGGACAACATAAGAGAGAATGGTTGATTCAATGGGAAGGGATGGATGTTGGAGATGCTACCTGGGAAGAGGAACTGTTGCTGAAGAGTCAATTCCCTGATCTGCGCCTTGAGGACAAGGCTAATGTTGTAGGTGGGGGTGATGATAGGAATGGATCGGATCCCACAAATGATGATGGGAATGTGTTAGTTAATAGAGATATTATTGGACTTAAACAATGGAGGGTATATGTGAGAAAGAATAGGAAACTCCACAAATAAATAGGAGTTAGTTTAGGTATTATTCTCCATATAAATAGGAGTTAGTTTAGGGATTATTCTCCATATAAAAAGGAGTGTATGGGGCAGTCATTAGGCATGGATTGATTTTCTGTTTTTTGATATTAGGATTTGGGCTTCTCTGACTGAGGAGCAGTAGCTCTGGAATTTATTTTACTTTCACATTCATTAATAAAATACTTTTCTTTATCATATTATATCATACCTCTATTCTATCAGTAACCCTGTCATGGTGCATACATTATACATTCATTATAGAATTAAGTCTCCTCTGCCAAAACTGTTTTAGTTTTTCATGTCAAAACAGATTCTGAACTGAAGTGCTTTTATGGCACTATCATCAAGTTCACCCACTCACTCTAGATTTCCTTACAGCACTTATACCAAGATTTAATAACTATTAATGAATTAATTAGTAAGACATGTGGAAAATTTTCGTGACAGCAATGCAAAAATTACAAAAACTTGTTCTGCCATAATTTATGAACATTCTAAATCATTTCATCATGTGCAAATTGATACCTGATTGAAAACAAATGGTTCACAACCTTTATTGATGACCATACAAGGGCTTGCTGGATGCTTTTAATGAACGATCAATTTTCCAAATTTTCCTTCTGTTTTTATTTAATGCCTTCCAAAATACAACTTAGATTCAGGACTGACAACAATAACAACAAGCCTTTCCAACTATGTGAGATCGGCTCCATGGATCAAATTCCGCCATAATATTCTATCCAATACCATGTTTCTATCCAATTCGTTAATCTCAAGATCTTTCTTAATAGTTTCTCTTATACTTATTTTAGGTCTTCCTCAACTTCTAGTTGTTTAACTCCTCTCTGATCTACTCTCTTTATAACAGAATCTACAAGTCTTCTCTCTACATGCCCAAACCACCTAGGTCAACCATTTTTTCTACTTTAGGTGCTACCCTAATATTCTATAATATTATCATTTCTAATCTTATTTTGTCTAGTCTAACCACACATCCAACACAACATCCTCATCTTTGCTACACTTACTTTATTCTCATATTGATTCTTAACCGCCCAACATTTTATACCCATGTGATCTACAATTTCGGTTTGGAACTTAGATAGTAATGATGCACCAGGGATCCAAATTACAAAACCTTTTTTTCCTCATATTCATTTCCTCCTGAAGATATCTATCATCAGAGCTCAAGGCATCTGCGAATAATGTGGACAAGGTGAAATTTCCTAAGAATATACATGATGCACTGTAAAATCTGAAATGATGGTGATAGAGAGTTCCTTGAAGAAGTAATGATGTAGAACCAAGAGCATGAACATGACATCCTGTTTATAATTATCATAACAAATCCCAATCTATCATCAGAGCTCAAGGCAACTGCGAATAATGTGGATAAGGTGAAATTTCCTAAGAATATACATGATGCACTGTAAAATCTGAAATGATGGTGATAGAGAGTTCCTTGAAGAAGTAATGATGTAGATGTTGTTGAACTATCTGACAACTTTCACAGTCGAGTACATGTGAAATGACAGCATCTGTTCAAGTCTGAATTGGTAGCCCGAGGGTTTACACAAACCTATGGCCAATATTCTAGAGAAACATTTGCCTCAAAAACATTGCTAAATTCTATCCAGGTTTACTCTCCTTGGTAGTGAGCTTAGACAAGTGAGATCATCACCAACTTGACAATAAGAATTCTTCCCTCAGTGAAAACTTGGATGATTAAATCTTAATGAGAATCCCACCTAGTTTGAGAAAAAAGGAAAATAAGGGAAGAGTATCTAAACAGAACAAATCTCTCTATGGTTTGTAGAATCCCTTCTAACAGTCTATGTTAATGATATTATCCTAACCCCAACTGACTTGTTTGAAATAGCAAAACTAAAACATCATATTTCATGAAATTAGGCATTTATCATGAAAGTTTTTATGTACAAGTTATTTCAATAACAAACCAAAAAACTAAGCCAAACTATTTTAATATAAGTTATAAGATGATTTCATATGCTTTTTTTGAGTCCTTGTAGAAATATTAGTAAGCATTAAACCGCTTATAGACATGTCATATATTGTTTCCATAAAACAGTCTCACAAATAATCATGCAAGTATATAATCTCAAATTGTTGAATATGGCTCATATTAAGACAAAAAGGAAAACAATATGTGAAAATTCCAAACGGGTCTTAGGCCCAACTTTATTTGCGGGTAGGTGACTAGGGTGCGGTGCGGGGAAGGTAGCCCTTGCGGTACGGTTTAGGGGTATTATTGTAAACTGAATCATAGTATTATATATATATATATATATATATATATATATATATATATATATATATATATATATATATATATATATATTGTTTATAACACTTTAACCCTAATTATTAGACAGTAATCAAGGGAACTATAGTCGCAAAGGTAGGCACCATTGGCCGAACTGCCTTAACAAAGATCGATCGTGTATATTGTCTTTTATACTGGTTGCTCTTATAACACAAATAAGTGAACCTAAACTTACCCAAAAAATTTATGAGGCTAAGCAAGACAACATCCACAGCAAAAGCACCACATGAATCACATCTAATCTAAATAATTCACTAAACACAAGGTCATGCAAATTATAGTTCATCATTTACATTTGGCACCAAAAAAACAACAACAGCAACTTAACTTACAGCATGGCATGATAACAAGTAAGAGGAAGATTGAGCAAAAACATGAGCCAGTGACCAGTGAAGAGACAGAGCGCACATAACAATCCTTGTCCAATAAACTCAGGAAGAATGAAGTAGTTAATCCGAGATGAAGCATCAAATGGGTTGATATAGTCAGCTTCCAAGTCAGATAAAATCAAAACCTAAAACCCATAAAAAAGCACACAAAAAAACAAACATAATTAGATTTGTTAAAGCTAAAAATAGGAAAGTAGAAAGTGAGAAGAAAGAACCTGGTAGAAATTTGAAGCGAGAAGAGCAATATTGGAGGGGAAACAAATCACAAGCCAGAAGAAGAGGTTCCAACCCATTTACAGAAAAAAAGAGTAAAGTAGGGTTTATGAAGATTCGATTAGAGACGGATGAGAGGATCTGAGGTTGGTAAATAGTGATGATGCAGACTAAAGGCGAGTTCAGTTCAGTTTCCAGTAATGACTATATTGCATGAATCATCTTGTTTTACCATATCTCAATGACAAATTTGAAATTTGAGATTTGGGTGGAAGGACTTTTATTTAAGGTTTGTTTGAATTGATGAAATCTATAGAATTGGGACAGAAAGTGATGGAAATGAATTATGATATATTGTTTGAATTATTTAAGATTGGATGCAATATATTGGAATAGAGCATAGAAGAATAGAGTTTGATAGATTTCATGGTATTTTATCTCTTATCTGGTTTTATTTTCTATTTGGGCGGAATGAATAATTTGTCTAAAACATAGATTTAGAATCTTTTTGGTTCACCTGAGGTGAGGGAAAAGGAGAAGAATGATTTGATTTTTAGAATTTTTTTTTAAGAAAATCATGCATTGAATTTTATTTACTATAATAACGCATGTTTCAGAAAAATTATCAAAGTAGCTATAAAAGAAACTTTGGATTGCCATTTGAAATGGCAAATGTGATGAAACCTGAGTTTGGAAAAGTTGAATTCGCCAATTCAAATGGCGAATTAGTTGTGATTGGAAGTCATGCGCCAATTCAAATGGCGAATGAGTGTGATTCTAGGGTTTTCAAAAATTCATGTTTTATATTTTGATTATTTGTTTATATTCATCAAATGTTTTAAAAAATTTAAAACGAATTTTATTTATATTTTGAATTATTAATTTTTTAAAACAAAAATATTATTAATAAACTAAAAAAATTAGATTTAAATATTAATAAATTTTTAAATTAATAAATTTAAAATAATGTAGTTTAAGCTTAAAATTTATTTTTTAATTAAAGAACTTACAATAATTAGGTTTTTAAAAAAATAATTTCTAATTAATTTAATAAATTTATGTTGAATAAAGAAAAAATTTAAACTGGTTTAAATACAAAATAAAAATTTTAATGTTGAACAAATTTTGAGTGTATAAATGTTGTAAGGTTATTTAAGACATATCATATAAGGTACATACTATTTTTTTTTACTATAAATACGACCGCAAACACATGTATGTTTTCACAACATTATATCCCAAAAGACTAAAGTGTTAGTGCAGTTCGAGTTGAGTGGAGTCTAGAATGTCTAAATTTCGAAATCAACATTCTTCGTCGTCGTCATCAGCATCGGAGGAACCTTTTCCAACGTTCGATCTAATGAAAAGAAATGCCCTAGTTGTGTTCTCAGCAACAAAGCCTCCGATGAAGGTGCTCCTCTAGAATACGCAGACGTTGGAGCACTTGCACAAGGAACTGAACCGCTGGCTAGAAGGAGACATTGGTCTAGGAGAAAAGATTAGGAAAATCGTGAGGCTGGTCGAGGAGACTGGGAGAAACGGAGTTACTCGTGAATGGAGAAAAGTAGAAAATAATGTCGGTGTCCTTGTGATGATGTTGACACCCAAGAAGATAAAGTTGATGGTCGTGATATTGTAGACGATTTGGTGCAGTGTTATGTTTTAGGTCTTTACGTTGTTATTATGTTTGTTTAATTTATGTTGCCTTCGCGCGATGTTCTGTTTTAGGTCTTTACGTTATTGTTATGTTTGTTTAATTTATGTTGCCTTCGCGCAGTGTTCTGTTGTCATGTTGTTGTTGTGTCAGTTAACTATGGTTTTAATTGATTGAAACATGGTATTATTCGAATGAAATTTGCTATTCATCTTATAAAAGTTGCTATTAATGGAATGGAATTTGATATTGATTTAACGGGACAAGATTAAATAAGAAACTATGATCTGCTGCTTGATCCTACGTTAGGACATTTTGTTCGATTGTGTCCTGGTTGCCGACACGAACTACACAATCTCACCAGCTTGTCTGCGGTATCCATCTCAGTTCGAATGCGCGTGCTGTTAGGCCGACCCTTCTTTTGTCTGTGCATCAAGTCATTATGCCAAACAATTTCGCCTTCGTATTCAAGCCAATAGTCCTCCTTTGCCACGACTTGAAAGCTGCATGTGTAAACATTGCATAGACTCATGACTTGGTGAACTGCAGAAAGAAGGTTGGTTGGGTCCTGGCGCAACTTGGAACATGCTGCTATGACATGAGAGCACGACATACAAAATGCTTGAAACTTTCCACATGTGATACCGCATCAGGAATCTATGCCTTTCAATTGTCACGCATGTTTCACAATCAATGACACGCATCAGGAATCAATGACACGCTTCAGGAATCAATGACACGCATCAGGAATCAATGACATGCATCAGGAATCAATGACATGCATCAGGGTTTACAATTGTTCTTGTCTATGTTTACAATTTTGTATAAAAAGACGTTAGTAATTTTACTTCTTCTCTAACGTAACATTCATTTTTCTGCAGGATGTATCAAGGTTTCGATGTCGTGTGCATGATTACATACCACACGACCCGCTCATTTTGGACTACCTTACTCATTGTGGATTTGGTGATTTGATCAGAATCAAATGTTATTCCCTCGACATGAAATTTATTCTAGCGTTGTTAGAACGTTGGAGACCGGAGACACATACATTTCACCTACCTTTTGGTGAATGTACTGTGACTCTTCAGGACGTTTACATGTTGCTCGGCCTCCACATCGATGGTAAGGTCGTCAACGGCAAAGTTGGTATCCCTGACCAACTTTGCGTAGATTTATTGGGCGCCCCTCTTTGTACGGACGGACCTCAGGCGGAAAGCGAGGGCCGCCCGAGGGGTCAGGGAATAAATTTAAAATACCTTAGAGAACAATAAAACCATATTGTCTTAACTGATGATAGCACCGAGTTTAAGAAAATACAAAAAAATCGGTGTTATATTATGATTTTATTCGGGCACTTTTTATTTCCAGATGGCACTGGAAATACCGTCCATACTATGTATTTACCATTATTGCGGAATATTAACAAAGTGTGCGAATATAGCTGGGGATCAGATGTCCTCGCCCATCTATATAGCGCACTTTGTAAAACTTCAAAAAAAAATCCTGCACTTTTTATGGTTGTGCGTATCTTCTGCAAGCGTGGGGTTGGTCTAGGATGCCAATGCTTGCTCCAATAAACAGGAATTCTTTTATGTTCCCGTACGCCAACAAGTAAGTATCTTTTCAAGATTATTTAGCAACTACATATTCTTTTTCAGTTAATAATTTCTGAGATGTGTTTATTTTTTTAGGTGGTCTGTCCCAGGGATGAATTATCAGAGATGTCCAAGGCACTCAATAATTCAATACCGCAACCTAATCGACCACCTTGGGCCGGATGATGTAAGTTATTTCCCATTAATTTTTTTAATGTATATGCATAAACCTCTCAAACTCTGCCTAACTTAATTGTCCAACTTTATTGTAGTTTGTCTGGATGCCGTACGAGGGTCTCGACCACGAGCCCAACCCCGACAATGTCATTGTGTGGACATCAAAGACACTCATAATTAGGTTCACTACGGTGGAGATGCACCAGAGTGACCGGGTGAAACTACAATTTGGGATGCATCAGGATATTCCAGATGCTCCAGTAGACTTGGGGCAGTGGCATCAAAAGCGGGTAGACGTACAGTGGAATGTCAGTGACTGGAAGGAGTTTGCGAAGGAGTTGCGTATACACTGTAAAAGAAGAAGGCAATACATCTTAACCGACCGTATTGTGCACGGGGTTAGGCCAAGTCTTCAATATATGACTTGGTTTAGGTCTGTCACGACATCTCAGTCTTTCCTGTCCCAGCCAACCTATTTGGCCGACCCAAGGGAACGCGGTTCTTCGTCAAACCCACAGCAACAGTTCAGTGCCCAAACCCAGCCTTACGAAAACCCCTACATGTCATCAAATAACCCCTATCAACAACGACAACCTTACATGCCACCACCCACCCAATCACAGCCTCAACCACCTTACCATTAGAGCCCTGATACCTCTTTTGAGCCTACCCCTTCCACCTATAGCCCAGACAACTCATTTGACCCTCCCCCCTCCAACTACACCTCCAACTACACCTCCAACTACCCCTCCAACGACCCCCCAAATTATCAATTATTCAACTACCACACCCCGCAACAACCAACACACATAGACCAACCCAACTTCATGTACACATTCGGACAACCATACCGTCCATACTCCACCCAACCTCCCCGACAATCCTTCGAAAACATGGGCATCAAGCTTGACTACGGAAGCGCCGTTGACAGTGGACCTCCCGGCTATTGGGGTCAAATGATGCAAACTCTATCTGATACGCCGGGGCCGTCCCAACCATACCCTCCTCCACAACTCAACACACAGAGACCGAACACACCACAACAACCTCTTCATAGACCTCGTCGCAATGCACGTCCCCCACAATGTGGCACCGGTGGTCACTTGGATAGAGCCGGTCATTAGTTTTTTTCTTTTGTTAAATTGTAATTGTACTTTCCAGTAGATTCTAAATTAATATAATTTATTATTTCTATATTTCATTTTTACATTCTATACCCTAATTTTTTCTTAATTTAATTAAATTTCAATTAAAAATAAGGTATTTAAAATAAACTATTTAAAAAATATAATAAAACATTATTAATCAATTATTAAAATTTATTAAAAACTAATAAAAACATAAATAAATTTCAATTAAAAATATGGTATTTAAAATAAACTATTTAAAAAATATAATAAAACATTATTAATCAAGCTACTAAAATTTATTAAAAACTAATAAAAACATAAACGAATCAAAATGAATTTTTGAAAACCCTAGAATCACACTCATTCGTCATTTGAATTGGCGCATGGCTTCCAATCTCGCCATTTGAATTGGCGAATTCAACTTTTCCAAACTCAGCTTTCATCACATTCGCCATTTCAAATGGCGACCCAAGGTTTGTTTTATAGCTACTTTGATAATTTTTCTGAAACATGCGTTATTA